TTCTAATTCTTAGTTGTTATCTTTGAAATAAATTTAAAAATATATAAGGTCTTGAAATATTCTAAATCATGTATTTAAATAGATTTGCATTAACGTAAATATTGTAGCTTCGAATAATACTTTCAAAAATTAATTTATACGTATGTTATGATAGTATATAAGCAAAAGCACCCGATCCCCGTGTAAGGCTTTCTATAATAATTATTTTGGAATTTTTTATTACGTGAAATTTTTTTTTTAAATGTAACAAAAAATACTATTGTAATACAATTGTTTACATGGAAAATTAATTCTGGAAATTCTTTTACGTACGTACTACGTATGTTGTTGATCAGTTTTCAAATTTAGAAAAATACAGACTGTATTTATATATTTGGCCAAAAAAAACGTGATGTTTTTGTTACACTGATCTTATAATATAAATGATCAGATTGCATGTTATTGTTTTTTTTTTTTTAGAAGATATTTTTCTTGACTGATCAAAAAACCACTTTTTTTAGTAAATTTGTTCGAACTAAACAAAAAACCATTTTTTTTTTAGTAAAAAAAAAACTTATACCTTCATTTTTTTTACAATGTTCGTCATTAGTAAGTACTTCATAACCTTTCCTGCCCTTTCAAAACTTTTTTCATATATCAAGCTCAGCGACGATAGTCTTTCAAAACTTTTTTCATGCATCAAGCTCAGCGACGATAGTCTTTCAAGCCTTTTTTCATGCATCAAGCTCAGCGATGATAGTATGAGTTTTGATCAGATCATTCGAGTATTCTATAGTAAGCTGGGCGGCATTAAAAAAAGTTCAAAGGTACCAGAAATCACAAGGAAGGTTAAACAACTTTTAAGCGCAAAGAAGGTTAGTTGAAATCTAAAGAAATATAATGACTTAATAAAAGTTGCAAGTTTGTCAAGTTATATGCCTGACATAAACGTTGTTGACTTTGCAGATGCAGAGTATGATGCTTTTATTTCTAGCAATGTTCACATCAGAGATATGCGTTCGGCCTAACTGATGAGGACAAGGGTCAGCTATTGGACTATGTCTATGTTCTAGTCCTTCTTGTCAGATGGAAAATTCTTTTATGTGGTGACTTTTGATAAAAGTAATTGTAGTTACAAGGAGCGTACTATGAACTTGTGACAAGGTCTAGCACTCTTTTATAATATTATTTGTAATAAGTCATCATATATACTATTAGTCGAAAACTAGTGCATGGGTAAGTCAATTTATATATATTTGGTAGTATTTTGCTTGATCAAGATTTTTTTAAAATTTATATTAATATATAGTATATATATATATTTTTTTTTTTTAACCGTTGTTCCTTGGGTATTTTTTTTTAGTCCTGGACCAAAAGAAAAGGGAGTTGTGAGATACATTTCACAAAAAAACCTTGCTCTAAAAGAAGTAAAAAAAAAAAACGGATTAGTGATCTACAGTACAACCCAACGTATCCACAAGTTTATTCATCCGCTTGTTAATTAGTATTCTTATTTGCTTCTTTACAAAAATTACTCTGGTGTGTCCAAAGTTATTCTATGATCGATTTAGAAATTTCAATAAAAGCATCAGTTAC